TGTGTGGTCCTACCATTGGCCCACCTTGGTTCTGAGAGAGCAATTGACGGAGGGGTGGAACTTCTCCAGAATGTCATGACCAGGCCCACATGTTTCTTTTTTCAGATTGGGCTTCGTTACGGTTCTTCAGAAGGACCTTTTCCCTTGTCTCAAACTCTCCATTACTTAACTCCTGCCTGGATAGCACACAGGATCCTTTGCCGGGATTTCCAAGGATATCAGTGGCTGGTCCTTTGCCACAAAGCCTCTTGGGTGCATCTTGGTCCTTTCCCATTCAGGACCTCCCAGGAGCTGATGTTGCCCATGACACACCATCTTATTCAAAGGGAAATGTTAATTTTTGGAAATGTTTTTGAAATCTAAGATTACATAATGATGGAAAAGTTGATCAAAGTTAAACTTTTCTGTCTCTTTACTCTGTTGGCTCTATTAACAATAAAATTAACTAATATGTGCTATGTGCAAGTGTTACTCTAATTTTTCTAATTATTTTCTATATATAAACTATTTAATATTTTAATAACAGCCCTAGGGGAGAAAGAGGCCATTGTCATCACCTCCATTTTATAGATGGGGAGTTAAGCACAAGGCCAACAGCTTGGAAGTGGAGGAGCCAGGAATGGAACCCAGCCTGGCTGGTTCCAGACAATGGCACCAACCAGCAAGCTACTGACTCATTCTGCCCCTAGGGTCATCAGCCTGGGAGGCAATTGTCGTTCAGAGAGGTCAGGTCACTTGAACAGCTGGTGTCTGGTGGAGTTAGGATTCAAACTCACTGGTTCAGACCAGGAGTGAGGAAAGTCTGGCCCTTGGGCCATATACTGCTGGCGAAATCCTTTGGTCTGGCCCTGCCAAGGCAACTGCAGGTGGGGCTCAAAATTCAATAAATCTTGGAGCTTTTTTCATAGCTAATTTTAAGCTGATAATTTTGTATGGCCCTTAGAATGATGTTATAAATATCCAATGGCCCTTGGCAGAAAAAAGGTTCCCTCCCCTAGTCTAGATGCAAACATGGTGCTTCTTCCACTGGACTAACTTAGCCCCCTATGAAGGATGAATTGTCTTTCATTGAGTGCTCGGGCACTGAGATATGCATTTTTATGTATCTTTTTTGTAAAAAAATATGTATTTTTTGATTTCAGAGAGAGGAAGGGAGAGGGGGAGAGAGAGAGATAGAAACATCAATGATGAGAGAGTCATTGATCGGCTGCCTCCTGCATGCCCCCCAGTGGGGATGGAGCCTGCAACCTCAGCATGTGCCCTGACTGGGAATTGAACCGGGATCTCCAGGATCATAGGTGGATGCTCAATCACTGAGCCATGCCGGCCGGACTGTTTTTACATATCTTGTCTGCAAATTCTTTCATCTCTACCTATTGAGAATGTGTTCTATGTCCTTTCTTCTTGACCCTAGGAAGATTCTGTGATTTGACCAAGGGTATTGCAGAGTGAGACTATGACTTCCAATGACAGGTCATAAAAGGTCATGCACCTTCTGCCTGGTTTTCTTGGGAGGCTTGCTCTGGGTGAAGTAAAAAGTCTGGCTGCCCTGAGACTGTCTTCCTGGAAGGGCCACATGGAGGCACTTCAGTTGACAGCCCCAGCTGAGCTCCCACCACATGGGGGAACCAGCTTGGATGTCCAGCTCAGTCCAGCCTTCAGGTGCCTGCAGCCCCAGCCAACATCTGACTGCAACCACATGAGAGACCTCCAAGGAAGGTCCTCCAACCAGGCCTGTCTCAGATTCCTGATCTACGAAATCATGAGCAAAATAGAGTGGTTGTTTGAAGCCACTGTTTTGGGATAATTTGTTACACAGCAGTAGTAACCATAACATCCCATTTGGGAAATGTTAGCCCAATGGGTTCACACTACAGCAAACCTGAACTCCCTAATCCCTTCTGGTCACCTGGTTTTAGGGGCCAAGGTCATGGGCTCTGGGCTTGGACTGCCTGAGTTGGAGTCCTAAGCCCATCACTCAGTAGCCAAGTGACCCTGGGCAAGTATCTTCATCTGCCTGAGACTCAGTTTTCCCATCTATAAAACAAGGCCAACAATAGCTCATTGGGTTGTGAGAGGTTCATAGGCCGATGCTGGTGAACCCCCAAGTACAGCGCCTGGCATACATAAGTGCTCGCTGGAAGTCAGCAGGCAGGTGGGCACAGTCAGATGCTAGGCCAGGGAGGCTCAGTGGGGTAGACAGAAGCAGTGGGGCAGGTAAGGAGAAGACCACAGAAGGAGAGGAAAGCAGAGACTGAGGGAGAGGAGGGGAAGAGGATCTGGAAGGTTCTGTTGTGTGCAGGGTGCTGGAGCAGTGGCTGCCGGTCAGTGGGAATTGGGAGCCTGTCTGGGCACCGACATTGTTTAGGTGCCCTCAGGTAGCAGCTCTGCCAACAGTGCCCTGGAATGCTTGGGCCAAGAAGAGTGTCTGCTGACCTATCCTGGATCAGCAAGGGGCCTGCAGAGTTGCCATAAAAAGCATCATTAAGGAGGTGGAGGTCGGAGCAAGAGCTGTGAACATTTCAGTATTAACAACCCTCACCCCCCACACAGATGCTGGGCCCATTAGAAATTAGACTCTGTGTAGCTTTCCTTCCCTTCTGCTGGACTGGGAACCCAGTTTATTCCACTTTCCTGTACCCAAGGTTTAATGGTACACAAAGTGGTGGTAGCTTAGTGGGCAAGGGCATGAGTTCAAATCCTGGTTCCTCCACTCAGGAGCTGTGTGTACTGGGGAAAGCTACTTACACTCTCTGTGCCGTTTCCTGATCATTACAGGACCAGCCTCAGAGGATTGTTGTGGGTGGACAGGATGCTGTGTATGGGGCTGGGTATCTGAGAGGCATCTGTAATACAAGGATTGCCCTTTGTTAAAGTGGGGACTGTTGTTCTGGAACAAGGTGGATCACCCCTAAATACATCAATGCTTGGAACAAAGCCCAGTACATAGGTGCTTCATAAGTATTTAAATCTTGATCAAGAGTTTCTGGCTTTCTGAATCCATGTCACATATGCCCCACCAGTCACCCAGGGATCTTCTTCCCTCATCCCTGCCCCAGGTGCTCTCCACCTTGATTGCCCTAGATGCTCTGACCCGCCTGGGTGCCCCAGGCCCTGAGGTCCCAGAGGGGCCTTGCCTGATCCCGCTCACCACTGCCCAGCACAGGGCCTGGTGCAGAGTGATTCAGCGGGAGTGGGTGAAGGAATGAGCGATGAATGAGCTGATTCCGATGCCTTCATGCAGCGGGAGGACAGGCTCCTCCTTGGCGCACAGTAGGGCCACACTATATGCCTAAGTAGGAAACACAGGAAGCCCTTTAGCTCCTCCAGTCTTGTTTCTTCACCTACCAGTAAGGGCCTTGGGCTTACATGTTTCAAAGGCTGTTTCTTCTGGCTCTAAATGGTTTTGTTACCGATACTCAGTGCCTGTGGGCAAAATGTAGTAAGAGCAAGGTTTGAACTTGTGCTGCTGTGCACCAAGCTAGGGATTCTCTTCTCCAGGCCTCAGTTGCCGGGTCCGTGAAATGGGATCGTTTCCATCTCATTGGATTCTGGTGAACGTATATTTGGATTGTGAAAGTAAAGGCGCTTAGCCTGGCATGGACACATGTTTTCACTGCCCTCATCCAGTGTCATCTTCTAGTCGTCGTTTCTTCATCCATACATTGGGAAGAGAGAGCGAGAGAGGGAGGGAGGGAAAGAGATCGAGGCACAGAGAGAGGGACAGAGACATTGATATGAAGTCAGGATGGCATGAGCGAAGCTTTCTGCCCATGTGCAGAGGATGGAGATAAATTTAGCAAGCGTGTATTCTGCGCCACAGTTTACGGAGCCCACGCCCTTCCCGATTTTATGTCGTACAATCCCGGGAGGTCACCTCCCTATTGCCATTTTCCAGCTGAGCCGCAGAGGGACTGGACTTGGTAAATCTGCAAACCCCTGGTGGAAAGTGCCTGGCACCGCGCCGGGTGCCTAGTAAGCGCTCAAGGGAACCGATACTTTTATGGTCACGATGAGGAAACAGCGCGTCGTCTTCTCAACCCGAGTTCATAGGATGCGGGTGGTCCTG